CAAAAAAAAAAGAAGAGAGAGAGAGAGAATAGATGGTGTGGTATGCTGCATGTGACATGGCTCTAGTGACCCTCGCCCTTTGGTACTCATCCCCTGTGTAATCCTCTCCCCTGACTGTAGCTTGGACCAAGTGACTCGCTTCTAACAAATAGAATATAGCAAAGGTGATGGGATCTCACTTCCGTGATCAGGTGATAAATGACTGATTTGTCTTGTTGGTGTTCTCTAAAGCTTTGATGAAGAAAGCTGCCATTTTGAAGAGGCCCATGTGGCAGGGAACTACAGATGGTCTCTGACCAACAAAACAGAGAGGCCCTGAGTCCAACAGCCCAAAAGAACTGAATGCTGCCAACAACTATGTGAATGAGCTTGGAAGCAGATCCTTCCTCAGTTGAGCCTTTAGATGATTATACTCTCAGCTGACACCTTGATGTCAGCCTTCTGAGAAACCCTGAAACAAAGGACTCCACTAGGCTGCACCCAGATTTCTGACCTATAGAGATGGTGAGATAATGAGTACTGTTGTTTCAAGCCACTAAGTTTCGGGTCATTTTTTACACTGCAGTAGATAACTAATAAAAATGGATTCTGGGCCGGGCGCAGTGGCTCACGCCTATAATCCTAACTCTCTGGGAGGCCGAGGCGGGCGGATTGTTTGAGCTCAGGAGTTCGAAACCAACCTGAGCAAGAGTGAGACCCAGACTCTACTATAAATAGAAAGAAATTAATTGGCCAAATAATATATGTAGAAAAAATTAGCCGGGCATGGTGGTACATGCCTGTAGTCCCAGCTACTTGGGAGGCCGAGGCAGAAGGATCGCTTGAGCCCAGGAGTTTGAGGTTGCTGTGAGCCAGGCTGACGCCGCGGCACTCACTCTAGCCTGGGCAACAAAGTGAGACTCAGTCTCAAAAAATAAATAAATAAATGGATTCTGCAACAGCAAACAGCAGTGATATAATGCTGCCTAGGATTCCAGGAGCTGTGGGTAAAGGCTTTCCCATATTTGTTCCCCTTGTACTCTGTTGTGAATTTTCTGGCGATTAAAAAGTATGTGTGTGTGTGGGGGGAGGGGCACTAAAGAGACATAGGCTGGTTGAATGGCTAAAAAGATACAAGTTAAGTATTTGCTGTCTCCAGGAAATACATCTAACCCACAAGGCCTCATTCAGACTTTCAAGGTAAAGGGATGGAAAACAATATTCCATGGAAATGGAAACCAAAGGAAAGCTGGTGTAGCCATTCTCATATCAGATAACATAGACTTCAAATCAACAAAAGTAAAGACAAAGACAGTCATTATATAATGGTGAACAATTCAACAAGAAGACATAAGAATCCTAAATAGCTATGCACCTAACACAGGTGTGCCCGGATTCAAAAAGCAAACCCTCCCTGATCTATACAAAATGATAAACAGCAGCATTGTAATAGCTGGGGACTTCAACACCCCACTGACAGAAGAGATCCTCCAAGCAGAAAATAAAGAAACAATGGACTTAAACAGCACTCTAGAACAAATGGGCCTAACACACATTTACAGAACATTCTAACACAAAACTACTGAATATATGTTCTTTTCATCTGCTCATGGAACATTCTCCTAGACTGATGGATCACATCCTATGCCACAAGACACTAATTAGAAGGACCCATCATTCACAGGCGATAGGTCCATTGAAAAGCAAATACTTGTATAAAGACATTGAATTAAAAACTTAGTTTTTTGGGGGAGGGGAGCATGGGCAATATATGTAACCTTAACATTTATACCCCCATAATATACTGAAATAAAAATAAATAAAAACTTAGTTTTTATACTTTGAGGCAAAGAATGCAGGAGAAGACAACACAGGACTTGAAAAGTTTTTTCTAAGTCTGGCAGTCCATAGACAGTGAATAATGGCAAGGCGCAATGGCTCACGCCTGTAATCCTAGCACTCTGGGAGGCCGAGGCGGGCAGACTGCTCAAGGTCAGGAGTTCGAAACCAGCCTGAACAAGAACCAGACCCCGTCTCTACTATAAATAGAAAAAAAGTAATTGGCCAACTTATATATATAGAAAAAATTAGCCAGGCATGGTGGCGCATGTCTGTAGCCCCAGCTACTCAGGAGGCTGAGGCAGAAGGATTGCTTGAGCCCAGGAGTTTGAGGTTGCTGTGAGCTAGGCTGACGCCACAGCACTCACTCTAGCCTGGGCAACAAAGTGAGACCCTGTCTCAAAAAAAACAAAAACAAACAAACAAATATATATATATGTATATTAGATTAGGACTGAAGTTCTATAAATGCAGCAGTGAAGATTAGAATGTTTTTAAGTAAAATTGTTTATGAAAAAAGGAGGGGTGTGTTTATGGCTGAAATCTTTCCCATTTTCACTGCATTTGTAATGCCTTTTCCTACATGAACTTTCTATTGCTTTCTCATATGGGAGAGGTAACTGAAGAGCTTCCTACTTTCCTTACACACATGGGATGTTTCTCTACTGTGAATTTTTTGGTTATTGTTAGGATTGATATCTTCCTGAGTGTTTAAAGAGCCTCTTTTGGCCGGGTGCAGTGGCTCACACCTGTAATCCTAGCACTCTGGGAGGCCGAGGCGGGCAGATTGCTCAAGGTCAGGAGTTCAAAACCAACCTGAGCAAGAGCAAGAGCAAGACCCCATCTCTACTATAAATAGGAAAAAATTAATTGGCCAACTAATATATATAGAAAAAATTAGCTGGGCATGGTGACGCATGTCTGTAATCCCAGCTACTTGGGAGGCTGAGGCAGAAGGATTGTTGGAACCCAGGAGTTTGAGGTTGCTGTGAGCTAGACTGATGCCACAGCACTCCTCTAGCTGGGCACAAAGAAAAAAACCGAGACTCTAACTCAAAAAAAAATAAAGAGCCTCTTTTCATTATCGGTTCTCAGGTGGTTGAAGAAGGCAAAAGTCTTCATGAGGGCCTTCCCATAGCCACTGCTCTTGAAGGGCTTTGTTGGGTATGGCCTGCCTGGAGTTGTCTGAGATTGGAGCTGTGTGGGATTGTCTTCCCACTTAGCTCTTCTTTGTCACTTCCCTGTGCCATGAGTAATCTGGTGATGGAGAAGGACTGTCCACATGTCATTCTGCTTTGGGCTTCTCCCTGCTCTGGGTATTCCAATGCTGGAAGAGCAGTTACCCCTGAAGACCTGCACAAATGCCTGGCCCTAGATGGGGTCCTCTCACTTGTGAACTCTGCTGCGCATGAACAGAAAAATGCTCTTTACAAATAAGCCTCTGCACCATGCCACATCTGCAAAGGCTGTCTCCACCAGTAATGGTTCTGTTGGTGGTGAAGGTTTGATACACTTCTATGTGTGGGGCTTCTACTATAATGCCTAATGTTCAGCCAGCAGAGTTCATAGGATCTTTGGCAGGCCAAGGGTGCTATGGTCAGGGTGAGGAACGACCAGTGATGGAATAATGGTTCTGCCAGGTACCCCACTAGTAAGCCTGCTGGGCTGTGGAGAGAAAAGAGGCACCTGGGGCAGAAGTGGCAGCAATAGTAGCTATTGATGCCATATTCAGTGATGTGAGCCCAGGCCCCTCTTTTCTTCTTTGTTAAGAGATGGGTCTCACTATGGTGCCCAGGCTGGACTTGAGCAATCCTCTCACCTCAGCCTCCCAAGTAGCTGGGACTATAGGTGCTCACCACCATGCCTGGCCAGGTCCCTCTTTAAAGGGACTCCTGTTAATGTCTCAGCCAGTTCTCTGTGAAGAGGACTCCCTGTCTGGGGGCTGAAGGGGAGTTAGATAAAGAAACAGCAACAGCTCACATGTGGATTGTGCTGAACTTACATGGTGATTTTTTTTTTTTTTTGGTAATAGGTGCCAAATACCAGACTCTACAAGATTCTGGATCTCAAGCTTCTTCTTAAATACTGGATGTGTCAGCTATGTTAAATACCCGCCCCCAATCCCCTTGTGTTCACTCCTGTGGGCAGCAGGACTGTAAAGCCAGTAAAGGCAGTATGTGTTAGTGACCAGAAACCCTGGCCAGGTTACAAAAACCACTTCCCTGGACTACTGGATACTTCTCTCAGTCCTGAGTTCTTGCCTAGGGGGTGATGGATGCCAAGATACGGTCCAAGAGATATAAGGTAAATGCACACAAAACTGTATTTGCTTTAAGGATGAACTCTGGCATGGGAAGCACACAGGTCTACAGCTCTTGAGTTGCTCTGCTCATCTGTATAGCCAGACACAGGGAACCATGACTGCTCCTTTGTCCAGGATGGCACATGCCCTATAGTTTACCAATCTCCCCAACTCTGTATTTATTTCCTCACACCTAGTGTTTCTCTACCCAAATATAGTTCCCACTGGGCCCCTCTAGATCTCTGCCTTGGTGACCATCCCTACCAGCCTCCCAGGCTCATTACCTCATTAGGAACCAGAAGACAGTTCCCCTTAGGCAGCTGGGGAAACCCAGACTTCTCCTAGGGAATCAAGGACCTACCTCCTGATCCAACAGACCATATTAGTGTTGTAGACTAATTTCTTTTTCCTCAGGGTAAGCTGTGAGTCCTCAGGTAACTCTGAAACATAGGCCCCCACATTCACTCCAGAGCCTTTCAGTCTTTCCCAGTCCTTCATACAGCAATCCAAAGTAGAACACAATAGGACACAGGCTCCCTATCCTCTTACTATGCCTTGGGGCAATTCCTGTGCCACCCAAAGTCATTCCCCACTAAACCCATTCCTTTCCTCAACCTACCCGAATAGAATCCCTAGGATTAAAGGTGATTTGATCAATAAGGTCATTGGTATCACACAGCATAGAGCAGACGAGGTAGGTGGAGGGTAATTTGTGGGCTCATTGGACATATCATAGGGGTTATATGCAGACTTTACCACATCCATGAGGCATGTGCATCTTCCTGAGAAGCTCAAACTGAATTCCCCTCAAGGTCCCTTGACCCGCATGGGGTCAGTTAACCGATGAAACCTCTCAGAGGAAATGGGAATTAAGACATACCAGTGGGCTGAGGACAATCTTGATTTCCCTCCAGGAAAGGGGAAAGGAGACAAAAGGAGCTGTTTTGCCCATGCATGAGGAGAGGACTGCTGAAAATATCTGGATCCAGGCAGGATAGAAAGTGGTTATGGATTCTGTTTTATGTTCTAGGGTGAGATGGCTCTGCCAAGGTTCCTGGGCTAATCAGAAAGGATAGAGTAGCTTCTAAAGGCTTTTCCACATTAGTAGCACATATAGGTAATTTCTCTGGGGCAGGGATTCTGCTGCATGAAGTTTGACTTGGCTGAAAATTTTCTCACAAACTCTGCTTCCATAAAGATCCACTTAGGAATGAATCCTTTTATGCTGAGCAAGGTTACAAAGGCGGCTGAAGATTTTCCCACATTGGCTGCACTCATAAGTCCTTTCTCTGTTATGAACTCTCTGGTGTCGAACAAGTGTGGATCTCTCACTAAAAGCTTTCCCACACTGGCTGCACTCATGGGGCCTTTCTTGTGTGTGAACTCTCTGATGACGAACCAGGTGGGAGTTACTGCTGAAGGTTCTCCTGCATTCAATGCATTCATAAGGCCTTTCACCAGTGTGAACTCTCCAGTGATAAATGAGGCTGGACTTTCGGCTAAAGAATTTCCCACATTCACTGCACTTATAAGGCTTTTCTCCAGTGTGAACTTTCTGATGTTTAATGAGAATGGAGTTTTGGCTAAAGAATTTCCCACATTCATTGCACTCATAAGGCTTTTCTTTTGTGTGAACTCTCCAGTGCTCAATGAGACTGGAGCTGTGAGCAAAGGCTTTCCCACACTCATTGCACTCATAAGGCCTTTCTCCAGTGTGAATTCTCCAGTGCTGAATTAGGCTGGAGCTGCGGCTGAAGGCCTTTCTACATTCACTGCACTCATGAGGCTTTTGCCCAGCATGTACTTTCTGGTGCTGAATGAGGGTAGAGCTATTGTTGAAGGCTTTACCACATTCACTGCATTCAAAGGGCCGTTCTCCAGTGTGAACTTTCTGATGTCGAAGAAGGTGGGAGCTTTGGCTGAAGTCTCTTCCACATTCGCTGCACTCAAATGGACGTTCTCCGGTATGAACTTTCTGGTGCTGAGCAAGGTTGGAGTTATTGTTAAAAGCTCTTCCACACTCACTGCACTCATAAGGTTTTTCTCCAGTGTGAACTCTCCAGTGCTGAATGAGAGCAGAGCTTCGGCTGAAGGATTTACCACATTGATTGCACTCATAAGGTCTTACTTGGGTATGAACTTTCTGGTGCCGAAGGAAATTGGAGCTTTGGCTGAAGGCTCTTCCACATTTGAGGCACTCAAAAGGCCTTTCTCCAGTGTGAACTTTCTCATGCCGAATGAGGTGTGACCTGTTATTGAAGGCTTTCCCACAGTCACCACACTCATAAGGTCTTTCTCCTGTGTGAATTCTCTGATGATGAACAAATATGAGTTTGTGGCTGAAAGTTTTCCCACATTCACTGCACTCATAATATTTTACTCCAGTGTGAAAGTTCTGGTGCTTCCTCAATTTAGACAGGTTACTAAAGGCCTTCCCACACTCCTTACACACATGGAATATTTCTGCAGTGTGCAATATTTGATTAACAAAGGTTGATTTCTCACCAGAATGAGTTCTCAGGTGGTTGGGGAGGGTGGAGGTCTTTAGGAAGGCTTTTCCACAGTTGTTGCTCTTAAAGAGTTTCTGTGTGGTATGGATTTCTGGGAGCTGTCCAAAATTGAAATATGGCTTTGTCCTGCTGTCAATGGCCTGATGCTGGAGATCATGGCTGTCCAGAATGGCCTTCCTACCTTCCCCGCAAGCAAAGGGCTTCTCTGACAGGTGGACATTAGAGCTCTTCACAAATGAATCCCTGTCCTTGTACCATCTGAAGGGCTTCTCTCTGCTGAGCTCCTTCTGGTCCTGCTGAAGGTCTACATTGAACCCAAAGTCTCTCCCACATGTTCCACATGTGTAGGCTTTCTCCTTAGGGTGTGTTCTCTGATGCTCAGCTAGGTGCAAAATGTCTTTCAAGAATGGCCCACACATGTCACAGGAGTTAACCTTCTGGGTGGAAAGGTCTGCATTGGAGATCTTGACCTGTGACACCTCTTCTATAGAAACATTCTGCTTGGGATGGGCCTCCTCACCCTCCAGTCCATGCCAACAACCTGAAAGCAGAGAAATGCCAGTTAACTGAGTCTACCACTTGGTGAGAAATGGTGACTTTATTAGAAATGTGTCACCTAGGAATTCACATCTAGGAATAGGTCTAAAGGATTGTTGACAGGCCAAGGGAGAAGGAATAAGGTGAAAGAGGGCCCACTATGCAGCACAGGGCCCAGCCAAGACACAGAATAAGGGAGACCTCACCAGCGGCACAGAAACAGAAATGGGTCATAGGACCTGAATAGACGTTTCTCCAAAAAAGATATATACAAATGGCCAATAAGCAAATAAAAAGATATTCAAATCATTAGTCATTAGGAGTATGCAAACAAAAACCCAATGAAATACCAATTTACACCCACTAGGATAGCTACAATAAAGACAAATTTTGATGGTGAAGTAGAAAAACTGGAACATTTATACACTACAGGTGGGAATGTAAAATGGTGCAGCCAGATTGGAACAGTTTGGCAATTCTGCTCCTACATAGCTACACAAGAGAACTGAAAACATATCCATACAGCAACTTGTACAAGAATGTTCAAGGCAGCATTTAAAATTTAAAAACAATTTTTTATTGTTGTTTTTCCAGAGACAGGGTTTCACTCTATAGCCCAGACTAGAATACAGTGGCACGATCATAGCTCACTGCAACCTCAAACTCCTAGGCTCAAGCAATCTTCCCACCTCAGCCTCCTGAGTAGCTAAGACTATAGTCGTGTGCCATCACACTTGGCTAATTTTTAAATCTTTTGTACCAGGCTTGTATCCAACTCATAGGCTGAAGAGATCCTCCAGCTTCAGCCTCCTGAGTAGCTGGGATTGTAGGCACAAACTACCATGCCCAGGTTCAATAGCAGCATTTTTTATAACAGCTAAAAAGTGGAAACAAGCCAAATGCCCATCAATGGATGAATGGATAAACAAACTGTGGTGTATCTATACAATGGAATATTATTTGGCTATAAAAAGGAATGAAATACTGATACATGCTGTAACACTGATGAACCACAAAAACATGCTAAGTGAAGTTAGTCATAGAAAAACATATATGGTATGATTCCATTTATAAAAAATGTCCAGAATAGGTAAATCTACATAGTTAGAAAGTAGATTTGTGGTTGTCTAGAACGGGAGGGAAGGAATAAGGGAAGATGAGGAGTGACTGCTAATGGACACAAAGTTTCTCTTTAGGTGATGAAAACATTCTAAGATTAGATTATAGTGATGGTTACACAATGTTAAAAAAAAAAAAATATATATATATATGGTTTTTTAAATTATTTATTTATTTATTTATTTTTTGAGACAGAGTCTTGCTTTGTTGCCCAGGCTAGAATGAGTGCCATGGCATCAGCCTAGCTCATAGCAACCTCCAACTCCTGGGCTCAAGCAATCCTTCTGCCTCAGCCTTCCGAGTAGCTGGGACTACAGGCATGCACCACCATGCCTGGCTCATTTTTTCTATATATATTAGTTGGCCAATTAATTTTCTTTCTATTTATAGTAGAGATGGGGTCTTGCTCTTGATCAAGCTGGTTTCGAACTCCTGACCTTGAGCAATCCACCTACCTCGGCCTCCCAGAGTGCTAGGCGTGAGCGACTGCGCCCAGCCACGATGTTAAAATATATTAAAAACCACTGAATTGTATATTTTAAAAGGTGAATTTTATGGTTTATCTCAATTTTATGGTTTATCTCAAGCTGTTTTTAAAAAAATGTCTCATGGAGTAAAGGAGCATATAATGCACAGCATCATACTGAATCACCCAGCCAGGGATTGGTCAAGCTTGATGGGATTAGGCAGACTGGAGATGCTTGATCCCTAATCTGTACCCCCACATGGCTCCTGGGCAATAGCTATTAGGAATGCTCATGAGGCTGCTCAGGGAGAGACAGGGGAAGTACACAGAGCAGAGTCCTGACACCCACAGTACCCACAAGATGAAACCAGGGAAGGAAGCACTATCCATCATCTGGCTTTTGGGTGAACAGAATTTTCTACAGGGAAAAGGCATAGGGCAAAAGCTGGCCACCACCATACTGGGGCAGGGGCTAGGGGCCTTACCAAGTGAGGTCATGAGCTCAAAGTTCTCCAGCATCACTTTGTGGTACAGGTGCCTCTGGGCTGCATCAAGGAGCCCCCACTCATCCTGGGAGAAATATACAGCCACATCTTCAAAGGTCACAAGGCTCTGCAATGATGGGACAGCTGAGCCAGATGGCCAAAAGGCAGGCTAACAAACAAACAAAAAATGGTCAAGTGACTCAGAGTCCTGCCACATCTACTAATAACATCTCTTCTTCTCAAAATCCTCTCAGACTACCCTACCCCTTACCTACCCTTAGCTTATCTTTCTCCCAGGCCTCACCTAAGAGAACAAGCCCTGGCACCACTCTATCCTCATAGTCATACTGGTTACTATATCCAGGCCAACCCAAGCCAGAGGAACAACATGCAGGTGGGCAGATGGACACTGCCCCCTCCCGCCTGCAGCCAGTTCCCCTGTGTCCCCCAGATCATACCTCTCGAACATAAGAAAATCTGGGCTTTCCTTTTTCCCTTAAACCCACAGATCCAGGTTCTAGGTCCATCGGTTCATATTCCATCACCTTGTCCATATCACTCTTCAGATTTTACTGTCCTTGTATCTCCACTGCTCTACACCAACACAGTCACCCTCTCCCTCTTCACACCATAGGCATCTCCCTAGCATCCCTATATCCTACTATGCACATACCTGACAAAGGCAACCAGGATCCACTCCTGGCCCAGGCCTGCCATAGATCTCCAAAACCCCACTGCCAGAGGCTGCCATTGTTCCTCAAGTCAATGTCTGCCTGCTTTGCCCTGTTGCTTCAACAATCAGCTGCCCAGAACTATAAGCAGATCTCAAATATCTCTACCCTCTTCTACCTCTGCCTTTGTATATACTGTCCTCTCACCAGTCATAGCTGTCCTCGCTCTTTCTAACACCCAAATCCCAGACACACTGGCCTCCACCTTAGGCTGGGGACTCAGCTTGGGCTGACCCTTTATGATCCTACTACTCTACCAGCCTGACAAAACCCCTAGGCCCTAAGAAGGATGGCCACAAACACCTGATGAGCTGTAGAGAGGTTAATCAACCTAACCTCAAGCATCTGCTCATCCTACCCATCACTTCTATACATCATCTTCTTTTTTCTTTCATTCTTTTTTTTTAAGAGACAGGGTCTCACTCTGTCACTCAAGCTGGAGCACAGTGGTACAATCATAGCTCACTGCAGCCTTAAATTCCTGGGCTCGAGAGAGCCTCCTGCTTCAGCCTCCCCAGTGGCTAGGACTACAGGCTCACAACAACACACCCAGTTAATTTTCAAATTTTTGTAGAGACAGGGTCTGGCTGTGTTGCACAGGCTGGTCTTGAACTCCTGGCCTCAAGCAATCCTCCTGCCTCAGACTCCCAAAGTGCTGGGATTACAGGCATGAGCCACTGTGCCTAGCCTATACTTCATTTTTATCCTAAGTCTACTTTCTGTTCAGGAGGCTTGGTCACTGTCCTAAACCCAACTCACAGCTGTGTGCAGTGTCCACACACAAGCCTCCACCCCTTGGAGGTCTGCAGCCTGGACTTGGCATAACTCCATAATCGCATGTTTAGTGCTCCACTTGGCAACTCCAATTGGCGGTCCCTGGGACAGTTCAAATACAACATGGTGAAAACCCAAGTATTTATTTACCTACGCAAATCTACTCACACTAACTTCCACGTCAGAATAATCTAGGATCAAGGTTGACATCTCACTTTCTTTTACTGCCCCACACCAGATAATCAATGTCTTAACTTGATTCAGTAGTTACCACTTCTACCTTCGAAGGCACCCTTCTGTCCAGCCACCAAAAGCACACACCCGGATTACTGCAGTCACACCCTCGCTGGTCTTCCTGTCTCTGCACTCACCAGCCCCCAAGTCTGTTCTCCACTAGGCATCCACTGGGAGCCTGTTGAGACCGGAGTCAGAGCACCTCCTTCCTCTGCTGCAAACCTTCCATGGCTCCCACCACCGTCAGAATAGAGGCCCAGCTCCTCAGCCTGCTGTTCCAGGCCTAACTCCGCTCTCCGTGCTCTCTGTTTCCACCAGACTAAATGGAGACTTGCAGTCCCCTGAATACTTTCATTTCATCACATCCAACCAATTTACACATGCTGATCCCTTTGCCTGGGACAGTCTTCTGGACCTCATTCCATAGGATTCCACAGATGGGAATTCCTCTCTATAACCCCCGGCCTGGGTTCAGGATGCTACGTCCCAGGACATCACCACCCGCAATTTCGGGACACCAGGACCATAGGGGCCGGGCTCCCAGTGGGTGAAGCTGGGGCACCCTCAGCTCACCTGCGCCGGGTCCATCGGCGACGCTGCCGGCCCCACTGGAGCCCGAGGGCTGGGCGGGGCCATGAGAGGCCGCGCCAGGGGCGCCAGAGCGAGCTACTCGGGCGCAACCGAACCTCCACACCTACAATGGGCGGTGCGAACGCGGGCTGCGGGTCGCACGCAGGGCCTGTTTTCACAGATAGAAAATGCGCCTGAGGACCAGGGAGCCGCCTCTGGGTACAGCGGGGACCAAGGCTGGGTGCAGAGGCCCGGAGACGCGTGTCGTTGGTTCCACATTCGGTAAAACCAAGGCCCAAAGAGGCAGATCAGCCAGCCAGGGGTCACCGCGCAAGAGACAGGACAGTGACGGCCCCGCCCCTCCCCAGCAGCAGCAAAAGCAGATGACAATGGCGTCGCCGGAAGTCCGCTATCCATTGCCGCGGGTTGAGCGGTCCCTTCATTGGCTCGGGCCCGCCCTCGACTATTACGCTATTTCCCCGCGCCCCTCTGGTTGCCGCTGCGTCGTTGCCAAGGTGATGAGGAAAAGCGCTTCCCGCGTCGCAGCTCCCACAGAGCGAGCTGCGTTACGACCGGCTGGCCACCAGAGCCCGGGAAAAGGGACTTCGGGACAAGCCAGGACGCCGGGTCAGGTACCGTATTCTGGCGTCTCGCTGTTATGTACGCACCTGACGGAGGGAACACGTCGCTGGGCCAGGGGCGGTGTCCGGGAGGTTACCCGGGCCGGCGGAAACGGGAAGTTCCGCCTCCGTGATCCGCGTGCGAATGTCCGTCTCTGAGCCTCGGCGTCCCTGGCCACAGAAGGGACGCCCCGTGGGGCCTTCGGGTTGCGCCGCGCCGGAGTGTCCGCCGGAGCCTCCACCAAAGCCCATCTGTGCCCGCGGTCCTCGAAGTCGTTGCCCTTGGCGTTGGGTCCGCTTTACAGAGCAGGAGACAGAGGCCCAAAACAGTCGCCCGCTCCGAGATCATAACCCCGCATGTGGCGGGACTCACGCGAGCATGATTCGTGAGCCAGTCGACAAGGCCTAGGTGAGGGAGGGTGCCCTGGCCCCCACTCGGCTGGACCGCAAGCACAAGTGTCCTAAGTCCCTGACTGAGAAGCCAACTGCCCAGGACCTCCTGCAGCCCCACAGAACAATGGAGGGTTCACAAGTGGCGGTCACGGTTTCAGAATCCGGTATGCTGAGAGGCAGAGGGTTCAGGCAGAGGGATCTGCATACGCAAAGACTTGGACCTGAGACTGCTCTGAGCTCTCATGTCTCCAGGGGACCCAGAGCACGAGAAGGAAGTCTTGCCTCTAATGGCCGGCTAAATGGTGATAACGAACCCACAAGTGGGACTCAGTGTTGGTCGCAGCACAGAAAGCCAATTACTGAAATAATTGTAAGGGAAGAAATGATTTATTTATTGCAAGAGACGAGTCTGCTGGGACAGGGAGGTATGAACTGTCTCAAATCCACCTCTCAGACCAATAGGGTCAGGGGTTATTTTGGAGGTGAAATGAATAATGCATGAGGGGAGTGAGCATTATTACGTGTTTGGGGTAGAGTGCAAGGCATGCAAGTGCAGTGAGGAATCTTGTTAGTACATAAGTCCCATGATCAAAACATGGCAGATAAATCCCTCCTAGGGTGGGATTTTAGTATTTTAACAAGCTAGGGGGTAATATTGGTCATTCTTTCAGCCTTGTGTGCAGCCTCAGTGGTTCATTGGGCACGATCTGTGGTGGAGTATGTGTGGTGGAGTATGGCTTGTCTTCCCACAAACAGGTGGTGTGAGGCTTTGTAGTTATCTCATGGCTGCAAGGAGGTTGGGCCATTTCTGGGAAAGAAACTCAAAAGAGAATGCATCAGTGCAACAGAAAGTTACAAAGTTCTGGTCGCAAATCTTACTGAAAGCTCTCTATTTTCTGCCTATTTTGAGACTGCAGCTGCTAAACTACCAGGGCTGAGATAAAACTCACTGTCAAGGTCACTTAGAGCAGCCAGCCCTAGCCACAGTGTGAACACTGAAAACTCATTTGAAATATGAGAGAACTAAAAAAAATATTGAGAAAACATTTTCTTGCTTATGGAGCCGGTTACAATGGTTCTGGGAGCCATGAAAGGTTTTGAACAGAAGAGGATAGACATGGTCTGAGTTAGGATTTTGAAAGTATTCTAGGCCGGGCGTGGTGGCTCACGCCTGTAATCCTAGCACTCTGGGAGGCCGAGGTGGGCGGATTGCTCAAGGTCAGGAGTTCGAACACAGCCTGAGCAAGACCCTGTCTCGACTAAAAACAGATAGAAAGAAATTAATTGGCCAACTAATATATATAGAAAAAATGAGCTGGGCATGGTGGCACATGCCTGTAGTCCCAGCTACTTGGGAGGCTGAGGCAGCAGGATCGCCTGAGCCCAGGAGTTGGAGGTTGCTGTGAGCTAGGCTGACGCCACGACACTCACTCTAGCCGGGGCAACAAAGCGAGACTCTGTCTCAAAAAAAAAAAGAAGAAGAAAGAAAGTATTCCAGTGGCTGCTGAATGAACACACTGGTGGAGGAGGAGGTTGTGGGGCTGGAAGCATGGAGACTCAAAAGAGGCTACTGATTCCCCATAGATTTTCAAGATAGAGCTGATGGAATTTCCTATTACATCAGATAAGGGGAGTGAGTTTGAGAAGGGGTGAAGGATCATCCCAAGTGTTTAGGAAGAATAAAGATGCCACCCATGGAGATTGGAGGTTGAGAGGAGAGGATGTTTCAGGAAAGATTTGAGTTTCGTAGTTATAGAGTCTGAATTGTCTGGAGAGCTCTGAGAGGAGCTGTCACATGGGCCCCTGCACTCACAGGGAGTTCTGCTGTGTCCTCAGGATGTCCAGACTACATTGTGCTGGTGGTCTGGACCAAGGAAGACCCTGAGGCTGGGATTTGGGAAGGAGAATCTTAGGTTGTGGTTATAGATGGGCCCTGAGATGAGTGTGAGGTGTTGAAACTAAGGACCAGTGGCTAGATGGAAGAGGTGGGTTCAGAAAAATGAGGGAAATGCTATCCAAAGACCAATAGGCCTGGAGGGAGAGCCCGTGCTGTCAGATATGCGAGGGTGAGCAAGTGCAAGGTCCAGGCCGGGCGCGGTGGCTCACGCCTGTAATCCTAGCACTCTGGGAGGCCAAGGCAGGCGGATTGCTCGAGGTCAGGAGTTCAAAACCAGCCTGATCAAGAGCGAGACCCCGTCTCTACTATAAATAGAAAGAAGTTAATTGGCCAACTAACATATATAGAAAAAATTAGCCAGGCATGGTGGTGCATGCCTGTAGTCCCAGCTACTTAGGAGGCTGAGGCAGAAGGATTGCTTGAGCCCAGGAGTTTGAGGTTGCTGTGAGCTAGGCTGATGCCATGGCACTCACTCTAGCCTGGGCAACAAAGCGAGACTCTGTCTCAAAAAAAAAAAAGAGAAAAAGGGCAAGGTCCAGGAGACATGAATGGGAGGTGGCTGGCAGAACAGGGACTGGGTCACATGCCCAGTGCTTAGGTCACATTCATCTGTCCACTGGCCTGATGTTGCAGGGAGCAGTGACCTCTGAGGACAAGGCCAATACCTCTTTCAGGAAAAAGTGAGGCTCCTTTGGCCCATTGGAGCTTATACAGTGACATGATGCTGAAGACCTGTATACTGTTGTCCTCACTTGGTCAGTCTACTGTGTCCCCTCATTCTCTGACACCTGATATCTGTGTTTTCCTCTGCCTTTTCCATGTTCCCAGTGGGGAGTGCTGCTGGCCTTGACATTTGCCTGTGTCCTGCTACCCCCTTCTCTGGCTACTGCATAAACCACTCCCACACCTTCTGCCCTAGGACCTTGACAACCATGGTCCAGTGTCAGGAGTCTCACAACATGTAGCATATCACACATAGCTGGGTCATTTACTGGTTAGGTGACCCTGTCAGGATGTATGGCTTTTCTGTCTCCTCTGCCCACCCCCTCACTCTAGTAGAAGTTTTCTGTCGGGTGTCCCTTGCCAGTAGACATGCCAGCATCATAGGCAGTGACATGACCATTGATTATGTGGCCATTGAGCTTTCTTAGTGAGAATTTCCTGAGTATTCATTTTGTTAGATTTATTTCTTCCCAGCTATACAACTACACAGGTGATCTTCACCTGTTGTGCTTTGTCATAGGGTAGATCACCTTGACCTGGGTCTGACTCACAAACCACCTGATCCTCTATAGGAATCACTGCCTCCACTACCAAATGTGGTTCCCAACAAATTAGAAGACCTGGCTGGTAGACAGGGTGGCTTTAGTCAGGCCATGGCCAGAGAGGCCCCACGGAGGACCAGTCCTGGTGAGTGGGAGACAGATGTGGCAGGGGCATTGGAAGTGGACTGGTGGCTCACCTGGTACCTGACCTGTACCTTCTATTGTCCTGGCACCAAGATGAATGGCCATGCCTCCTTTTTTTTTTTTTTTTTTTTTTGAAACAGTCTTACTCTGTTGCCTGGGCTAGAGTGCCATGGCATCAGCCTAGCTCACAACAACCTGAAACTCCTGGGCTCAAGCAATCTTCCTGCCTCAGCTTCCCAAGTAGCTGAGACTACAGGCACGCGCCACCATGCCCAGCTAATTTTTTATATATACAATTTTAGTTGTCCAATTAATTTCTTTCTGTTTGTATCTTTAAATAGTTCCTGAAAACCTGTTCTTCCGTGAGACTGTCTTGTTTCCTCTGAGGAGTGTGTGCACAGGTGTTGATGGCCTTGACGTCCCTCTGCACACTCTGAGTAATGTCTGTAGCTCCCAATGTACTGGTCCTGCAAACTGTAAGTCAAACATAATCTTTTTTTTTTTTTTTTTTTTGAGACAGAGTCTCGCTTTGTTGCCCAGGCTAGAGTGAGTGCCATGGCATCAGCCTCGCTCACAGCAACCTCAAACTCCTGGGCTCAAGCAATCCTGCTGCCTCAGCCTCCTAAGTAGCTGGGACTACAGGCATGTGCCACCATGCCTGGCTAATTTTTTCTCTATATATTAGTTGGCCAATTAATTTGTTTCTATTTACAGTAGAGACGGGGTCTCGCTCTTGATCAGGCTGGTTTCGAACTCCTGACCCTGAGCAATCCGCCCGCCTCAGCCTCCCAGAGAGCTAGGGTTACAGGCATGAGCCACCGCGCCCGACCAAACATAATCTTAAGTATTCATGTTTTTGTAGCTGAGACTACAGGCATACACCACCGTGCCTGGCTGATTTTTCTATTTTTCGTCTTGCTCTTGCTCAGGCTGGTCTTGAACTTCTGAGCTCAAGTGATCCTCCCAACTGAGCCTCCCATATATTTTTATGCTACTTTAAAGGGCATATTTATTTTAAAATTTCAATTTCTAATTGTTGCTATTAGATCAATTCAAGGTTTGCTTTCAAAGTTTGTTAAGTGGGACCAGAGTAGCTTTGAATCTATGGCTAATTTTCCCCACTGTGAGGCACTACTCATCTAAATACTTGAACCTGCAGACTATGAGCTTTTCTTACTTGGTTGGTGGGAAAAGGAACTATAGCCAATCCTGTTTATGCTCTGGAGCTTGTTCCCTCTGCTCTATTTGGGTGGTTCTTTCCCCAGCCTCAGGTAGTTGCTTACATGCATTTGCTGATCAGCCCTCAGATGGAGAATCAAAGAGGACTCTGCCATTTTCTAGAGCTCTCCAAGTAGCTCTCTCCTCTCCAGTCCTTGTTTTGTGAATTCTCCCTGCCTTGGCCTCCCTGGACAACCAGAACAGTTTCCTCTAGTCAGGAACATCTCTAGATTGTACCAGGTTTCCCTTCCTTCACTGAAGACTGCAAACTCTTTCCAGATAATCACAGAGGTGGAAACAGTGACAGAACTCACCATTTGTGTTTGTCTTGTCTTAGGGGTCACTGGTCTATGCTGTCTGGTGTCCAGTGTTTGAAAACCAATATCTCTTATATTGTGTCTCGTTGTTTCATTGTTCCAGGTGGAAAGGTAAATCTGGTCCATGACACTCCATCTTTGTTGAAAGCAGAAGGTTTCCAGTTTATATTTGTGATTTCTTTTTTAAAATTTTCAATGAATTAGAATGAGAGAGTACCTGTGTATTTTGTTCACTGCTATACTAGTGCAGTCTCCAGCACACAGTGGTTGCTCCAATGGTACTGGTTAAATAACTTAGGTTCTCTGCTGAATATAGGGTATAAATATGAGATAAAGATCTGGTATCAAGAATGCTTCCCCCAAAGGAAGGTGCTCATTCTTACTTTTTCTGTCATGATCCTCCTCCTCCTACATGGTGCAAAAAGCATCATCCATGACTATGTGGGCATGAGAGGAGCTCACACACAGGTCCGGAGGAATGGCAAGTCCACATATGTATTTGTTGAATTCCTACTGTATGCCAGGCTTTTTGCTGGGACCTAGGGTAAACAGAGCCATGAGGTAATATAACAGGCATGGCCTTCACCTACAGGAGATCCCCATCTAATGGAGAATACAGAGATCTAACATACAAGTAGAGAAACTAGGATAATTCCAGATAGTGGTATTTCCAATATAGCTGTAAAGAAAACAAAACACAAGAGGTGTTCAGATTGGTAGGAAGACCTCCCGAAGGTGGTGATTCTAGGGAAAGAGTGTTCCACCTAGAGGAAGCTCCAGTGTAGATGCCCCAGGCAGGAATGAGCTGGTGTGTCTGAGGAACCATGTCATGCTGGCCTGGTAAACTGGAGTAAGGAGTTTACATTTTAATACGATGGGACCGTACATGATGAGTTCACTGCTTCAAGGGAGGCCTGGGCTGTGAGGGGTAAGATGGGCTGACGTTGAATATTGTGGGCCATTGCCACGGGGTCAGGAACTACAGGGAAGGGAAACTGAGAGAAAGGAGGCAGCTTGGATGTCATCATCAGCCTGTTTGCTGCTGCTGCTGTCTGAGTCTCCAGAATCATTATTTATCCCTGTCCTTCGTACTCATAGAAAATTCTTGGCTGGCTTCTGGGTAGCCATGCTTTGGGGCCCTGCATCCCCAGTAGGTGAAGGGCTGGCTGATATTGTTAGGCACCACTTCAGGTAGAGAACTCTCTTGCTCCCAGGTGATAGAAAGCCCACTCTAAGTAGTTTCAACAAAAAATCATTGTTTACCAGCACATGGAACCAAAAAGTCCACTAAGCATCTGATTTCAGGTAATACTTGGATCCAGGGCTCAAATGGTGTCAAAAGGGCTGCTGCTGGCTGTCACTGAAAGCTTTCTTCCTCTGTGGTGGTTCACAGGCAGGCCTCTCTGTAGAGTCAAGATAGATGTCAGCAGCCCCAGTCCATAGATGCTCAGAACCATGGGAGCCTCACCTTATATGTTCTGGCACATACCCAAGCCCATGTATGCACATGCACACAGAAACACACCCCCCTACACAACTTAGCAGGCCACCTGCCTTCAACAGAGCCTCTTTGTGAAGACCAGATATCATGTTAAGGACTCTCTTTATCAATGGGACTAGGGTCATTTTAACAGGTCTACCCATACCTGAGGTGGTATTAAGCTCTGATGACTAATATCTGCCTTACCTTGCTTGGGGACCTGAGGCCCACGTGGCTCAGCTGGACTTTTACTCTGATCCCAAGCAGCCCTCCCATGTTGGTGCAAGACAATTGTTACTCCCAGAGGGATGACCTGAAGCCAGGGGCTGCCCTGATAGCCTGGGATGCTGGAGAGAATGTAGGCTGACATGGCACATGCTCAGTTGACTGCAGACCTGTCTGGATGCTGTTCCCTCATGTGGCCAGCTTCTATCCCAGCTTCAGGTGACTAAGTGAAAAAGTCACTCTGGATGAAGTGGCAGCAGCAGTGTGACTGCCTTTGCTACTTAACTATGGGGCAAATAGACCATCATGTCTGGGAACACCTGAGCTCCCTCCAACCTGGTTTGCTTCCTATCTGAGAGTCACACTGTTGGCTCTGGAACACATGTACAGACCTTATACACATAGGTTCTGGTGAACCAACTCTATGTAGAACTATATGTGGGAAATGGTTTCTAACATTTATAAAATTGAAAGCCTCCATATAAAAATATGCACTTTGGTCAACTTGGAAAACCAGAAAATGGGGCAACTGTATGTTGATTCCACCACATCTATTACCTATGCCCTGGGACAGCCCTCCTTCAGTGGCAGCAAAAATCAGATGATGAAAGCCATGCCTCCCCCACACACACCAGGAACACACCAGGATGAACCACAAGAGCCATATCCCTGGATGATAGGATCTCTCTTTTTACAGTACAGGGGTTCCTGCCTATGCAGTATGGCCTAAAAATGAACAGCCTAGGAGCACTGCAGGGTTCCTCAAAACCTCTAGATCATTTCCCCTGGCAGTGACCAGCTTATTGCTGGTTGTGCCCATTCTAATGGGGCATAGAGAACATGGCTGTGTAATATGGGGGTGTGCAGACCTTCTCCAGACCCACAGAACTAAATCTTCCCTGTAGGTGAAGTCACCATCAGAGCAAATTTGGTAAACACGCAAAGTCACATTTTTTTCCTTCCGAAAGCTCCTGTTTCATAATTTTTGTGGTATAAATTCCCCTACCATAGCTCATTTTAAGCTGCACATGGAATGTCACTGAATTGAGTTGAACATAACCAGCTCTTGTCAGCATGATCTGGCTCAGGCACACCATGAGGCATATCTCCCATTTGTCACAGTCTTCCTTGCTCCCTGACCTTAAACCTAGTGTTTCTGCATCCACTTATGGTCCCCATGTGGCCACTGCCCACTTAATCTGGACTTCAGGGGCCTTATTAATGGGCAGGTGCCAGGAAACAGTGGCCCCTTAAGACTGCTGGGGAATGTGGGACATTACTGGAAGGACCCAAACACCGTTGCTCCAGGATGTACTATAGATTACTACACCAAATACCCGATTTCAAAAGCTCTAGGCCTAACAGGGCATTCTGGCATCTAAGACACATGATTTGGACCACAGTTACCTTCAATCTGTCTCAGGAGGCCTTAGACTACAAGGCAACTAAGGTTAGATTGGACTGATAGCTGTTCCTTGCCATCCTGCTATGCCCTATGAGCTATACAAACTCAGCACTTCCCCCCACAAAAGCCCTTCCCCTTTGCACCATTAGAACCCAATTTTCTTTTCAGTTTCTCCCCACACACAACGTGGAACTCAAGATTAAAAGATGGCTTGAATAATAAGGCCTTTATTATCACACACTCTGGAGGTAGGTGTTTCCAGGGTTGGATGATTTGGAAGCTGGATAAATCCATTACAGGTGTCACCAGTAGACTCAACAAGGACCAAGAAGGAAAAATCTTCTTTGGAAGTCCTCAAGAGACTCCAGATCCTCTTGGAGAGAACTAGGTCAGGGCAAAGCCTAAACCGTTTGGGTCAGGGGAAAGATGGGAAATGAGGTGGCTCCAATGGCTTCCCATCACTCATAATTGCCTCCAGGGAATGAGAGAGAGACCACAGAGGTCTGTCCCTGAGTATGATGGGTGCACACTGTGGAGGTCTACCATCTGGTAGAGGTGAGATGGCAACTGGCAGTGGCATTATCTGACAAAGGGCCTGGACGAGTTAGAGAGTGTAACATAGCTTCTGAAAGTGTCCCACAAATCTGGCACTCACAGGTAATCTCCCCCAGGAGTAGTGCTGGGATGTGCAAATTTCAAATTTCAACTGATGGCTTCTTTCCAAAACCTCTCACAGAAGTTTTCTCATGAGTGAATCCTTTTGTGGTGAACAAGGAGAAGGCCTCAGCTAAGTGCTTTCCCAAGTTACTCACAATCCTAAGGCCTTTCTCTTGTGTGACCTTTCTGGTGTTGAATGAGACTGGGATTTTGACTGAGGTGTTCCCGTGTCCACTGCACTTAGAAGGCTCTTTTCTAGTGTGACTTTTCTGGTGCTTAGAAAGGTTAGAACTGTAGCGAAAAACTTTTCCACATTTGTTGCACTCATAAGGTTTTTCCCCAGTATGAACTCTCTGGTGCTGAATGAGGATGGAGCTTTCACTGAAGGCTTTCCCACACTGGCTGCATTCATAAGGCCTTTTTCCAGTGTGAACTTTCTGGTGCTTAACAAGGTTAGAGCTATAGCTGAAGGATTTCCCACATTCACTGCATTCATAAGGTCTTTCTCTAGTGTGAACCTTCTGGTGCTGAATGAAGGCAGAACTTTGACTGAAGGCTTTGCCACACTCTAAGCATTCATAAGGCTTTTCTCCAGTATGAATACGCTGGTGTGGAATGAGGTTGGAGAGGCAACTGAAGGCTTTCCCACATTGTTTGCACTTATAAGGTCTTTCTCCAGTATGACTCCTTTGATGTAGAATAAGTTTGGAGGTTTGCCGGAAGGCTTTCCCACATTGGCTACACTCAAAAGGCCTTTCTGTGTTATGAACTTTTTGGTGCCGAGCAAGATGGGAGTTGTTAATGAAAGCTTTCCCACATTCATTGCACTCATAAGGCCTTTCTCCTGTGTGTATTTTCTGGTGCTCAACAAAGTTAGAGATACAACTAAAGACTCTCCGGCACTGTCTACACTCATAAGGTCTTTCTGTGTTATGAACTTTTTGATGCCGGCTAACATGGAAGCTACGAGTGAAGGCCTTCCCACACTGGTGACACTCATAAGGCCTTTCTCCAGTGTGAACTCTCTGGTGCTGAACGAGTGAGTGTTTGCGGGTGAAGACTTTCCCACATTCCCTGCAATTGTGATGTGTTTTTCCAGTGTGAATTTTCTGATGTGTCCTCAGTTGAAACTGATGGCTGAAGGCCTTCCCACATCCTGTACACACATGGGATGTTTCTCCAGTGTGAAATGCTTCATGATTAACATGTATTGAATTCTCCCTGGGGGCATTTCCACCTGTGGGGTACCTGAAGTGTCTCTCTTCAGCCTGATTTAGCAGGTGGTCGAGGAGTGCAAAGGCCTTCAGGAAGGTTTTCCCACATTTGCTGCACTTGAAGGGCTTCTGTGCATCAAAGACTCCTTGTTCCTGTCTGAGATTGGAGCTGGATGGGAAGGCTGCCCTGTGCTCAGTGCTCCTCTGTAGCTTAACCCCACTGGAGGTTGCCTGGTGCTGGAAGAGGTCACGGACTTCCAGGATATCCTTCTCACTCTCCATGCACATCAAGGGCTTCTCAGCACTGTGTTCTTTGTGGGCCTGGTTCCCACTGATACAGAAGCCTCTCTCACATGCCCCAGAGATATACAGCTTCTGTCCAGGGTTTATTCCATGGTGCTCAGACAGGCACAAAATATCTTTGAAGACTGGGTGACATATGTCACAGATCTTGGCTTTCTGGGTGGAAGTCCCTATCTCAGAGGTCCTGAACCAGAACACATTTTCTTCAGAAACACCCTGCTCAGATGGGGCTTCCTTCACTGCACACCAGCAATCTGAAAGCATAGAAATGCTGGTGAAGTACATGTGGGATTTTTTGGGAAGAGGCACCCTCTTCACAAGGGCATGTCTCACGCATCCAGGAATGCCTTCAGGGTGAGGAAAGAACAACGGTGCATGCTGGGCCTGGGTAGGCCACAGAATAAGGGGCCTCACCAAATACAAGAATATTGGGGTGGAGTTCTGGTTGGGAGAAGAGGCAGGGACTGCAACTCACACCTCAATCTTCAGGACCCCATACAGGCAGAACCCAGAAGATTTCTGCTAAGAAATGGGTACAGAGTGGTGTGCACAAGCCCAGGGAAGTCCAGGAGCAACTGGGCATCTGGTGCTTACAATCTATGTGAGGATACATGTACTTCTCATAATACACTGAGTGTAGGTTAAGGTAGGACAGCTCTACAAAGGGAAACATGTAGGTCAGAGCAGTGCAGTCATCTGTCATCCAGAAGCCAGAAGTCAAAGTAGAAATGTTAAGAAGGTAGAGTGTCCATTATGCATAAGGAAAAATGGGAGTAAAATATGGTTACTGGCCTCAGCAATGATACACAAGTAAGTACAAGGCAGATGCCCAGCAGTGTGAGCCCAACCCCAATGTCACCCTTGCCCCCAGCTCCCACTCACCAGGGCAAGGCTCCATCTCAGCCCGTCTTGTGACCAGAAGCATATCCACCCTGTCTGGCACCCAGGGCTCTTTACCCTGCTCCAGGAGAGCAACCACACAGGACTTGGAGGATGTAAGTCCTGGGAGAAAGTCAGGACAGGTGAGTGACTGGCCATAGCTGAGGACAACCAACCCCATGACAGACCAAAGGGAGTTTGTCTCATCTTTGCAACCAGAAAGAAAACTTAGTGTTACAAAATAGACCTCTGGGCTGGGCGTGGTGGCTCACGCCTGTAATCCTAGCTCTCTGGGAGGCTGAGGCGGGTGGATCGTTTGAGCTCAGGAGTTCGAAACCAGCCTGAGCAAGAGCGAGACCCTGTCTCTACTATAAAATAGAAAGAAATTAATTGGCCAACTAATATATATAGAAAAAAAATTAGCCGGGCATGGTGGTGCATGCCTGTAGTCCCAGCTACTCGGGAGGCTGAGGCAGCAGGATTGCTTGAGCCCAGGAGTTTGAGGTTGCTGTGAGCTAGGCTGATGCCACGGCACTCACTCTAACCTGGGCAACAAAGTCAGACTCTGTCTCAAAAAAAAAACAAAAAAAAAAAAAACCAAAATAGACCTCTGAACAGCATCTCACAGGAACAGCTCAGTGATTCCCACAAGTAGGCAGTGTCTGCAGTCCCTGGCACAACCAGCCTCCTGGAAATGTCTGATAGAAAAAGGGGGCAGAACTTGGGGCACAGTAGTGGATAGACTCAGGCAGCCATACTACCGACCCTAAGCCCTTGCCCAGAAGACTTTGGACAGTAGGTGTCAGGGCTCCTCAGAGAGAGGAGCAGGTTAATGCCTGTGGCCCAGCTCTGCACACAAAGCAGCTATCCAGATGAATAAGCAGCACCCATGCTCCACCTGTGCGAAAACAGCTGCTCCTGGGGAAGAGAGAAAGGGCAGAGGCTTACCCAGTGAGGCCACAAGTGCAAAGTTCTCCAGCATCACTTCACGGTACAGGTGCCTCTGAGCCTCATCAAGGAGCCCCAGTCCTCCTGGGAGAAATATACAGCTACATCCTCAAAGGTCACCTGGCTCTGCCATGATGGACACAGCTAAATCAATGAGAACAAAGGAGAGCAGAAAAGCAGGGGGGGAAAAAAGTGCAGGTATAACTATCTAAGCCTTGGACTGTGACCTGCATCCCACCACCTCTCTGGAAACAGTCTCTTTCTGCATGACCCAGGCACCCTCCATAAACACAATGCCACATGACCCTCCTCCTGAAACCCCAGTGCCCATGGGTCCACTCTCTCTTCATGTCTCACTAAGTACCATGTCTGACCTCAAACAATAGGCAGATGGGCAGCCATAATGACATCTATGCCCTCAGTCCCCAGATTCTGCCTCCCAGAAATACTAAGCTGGGGCTCACCCTTCTACCTTAGACTATGGCCCACTGGTCCACACCTATGCACATTCACATCACTCCTTGGACAACCCCCTCATCTTTAGACCCCCTGGGCACCCCATGGCCCACACAACCAGTGTCTCCCTACCTTCCTACATGCCTCTGCAAATGGCATCCAGAGTCTGGCTGCTTGGTGAGGGCAATCAGGATCCTGTCCTGCCCCAGACCTCCAGAAGTCCCACCTGCCAGTGGCAGTGGCGCCCAGTCCTTTATGGTTTCTTCACTTGGCCCTGCTCCTGTCTTTAGCCCTCAGACACCCAGAACTACACACAGATCTCCAGGACCCCCAGTCCTCTCTGCCTTTTCACATGCTATGCCCCCACCAACCACAGTACACCTCTTTCCTCTTTTTGCATGATCAAAGCCCAGCTCCCACTCCAAGCCCAGAACTCTCCCAGCTGATCCTGTCTGCCAGTGAGCTAATATTTCAACCTGACTGAAAGCCCAGGCCCTACAGAGAGCAGGCAAGAAAAACCAGTGAGGCCGGGCACCGGTGGCTCATGCCTATAATCCTAGCAGTCTGGGAGGCTGAGGTGGGAGGATTTCTTGAGCTCAGGAGTTTGAGACCAGCTTGAGCAAGAGCGAGACCGTAACTCTACTAAAAATAGAAAAAATTAGCCAGTCAACTAAAAATAGAAACAAAAAATCAGCCGGTCATGGTGGCTCATGCCTGTAGTTCCAGCTACTCAGGAGGTTGAGGCAGGAGGATTGCTTGAGCCCAGGAGTTTGAGGTTGCTGTGACCTAGACTGATACCACAACACTCACTCTAGCCTGGGCAACAAAGCGAGACTCTGTCTCCAAAAAAAAAAGCCACTGAGCCTGTAGAGGGGTGAATAAGCACAAGCCCTGGTCCCACTGTCATCCTACCTCCACCTCAATACACTCCGGCCTCAATGGCAGGAAGTTTAATCATCTTCTGGACCCTACTCACCCACATACACCTTTCCTGAGGCTACTCCTCCTTTCATCTCCCTTCATGTTGCCCACTACTACTCCCCAGGTTCCCAGGCCAACCACTCACTCCTCAGCTGCCCCCATGGGGAATCCATCCCCATGACCTAGAGATAGCCCCTCCTACATATGAACCAGCACTCCACCTCAGTTCATAGGCTGACTGCCACTGACATTTCCAACTTGAACCCCTCAGCAGAACTGAGACCTGTGTCTGGCTTCCCAATGATACCCATACTCAGGAGTCTATGGGACGTTTCACACTTAACACAGCCAAAATCCACCTGACCTTCCCTGCTCCACCACTGACTTGCCCACCAGTGGATGGCACTTCCATCTTCTAGCTATTGAGGCCAAAACCCATGAAGACATCACCTCTCTCTCTCTGTCTCTCTCTCTCTGTCTGTCTGTCTCTCTCTCTCTCTCCCCTTCCAAAATCTGGTTGGCCCAAGTCAAAAAACACATGCCAAATCCAACCACTTCTTCCACCTCCACACTCACTACTCTGGTCAAGTCACCATCATCATTCACCTGATGTATTTAAGGGTCCTTATGAGCCTCCCTTAACTCCTCCCTCACCCTCACCCTGACCATGTGTTCTCCTGTCTGTATCCACAGGGAGCCTGCCGACATCTGAGTCAAACATCTCCCTACTCTGTTCCAAATTTTCCATGACTACCATCACCCTAAGATTACAGGCTGAGATCCTCAGGCTGCCATTCTAGGCCTGACTCCTGCCCACCTGCTCTGTTTCCCCTAAACATAAGGGAGCCCTGCGTTTCCTTGATCACTCGCAGCTCCACTTCACTTCCTAGCATTTGCACATCTTGGTGCCTATGCCTAAAATAGCTTTCTATGCCTCGTCCCCACTGGATTCCAGAAATGGGAACCTCTCCACATTAACCGTTGGCCAGGACTCAGGATCTTCGGCCTGGGGTCGCCCTATGGTTCCCAAATGCAAAGGACGAGAGCGAAGAGGGAGGAGAAGAGTTCAGGGACACCCTCTCGCCTATTAGGGTTCGGGACTATACGACGGGTCAGAGCAAGTGAGGTCTGCGGGGCACCCTACACTCACCCGCGCCAGGGCCATCGGCGCCACCACAGCCATCGGACTGGGCAGGCCCTGCGGGCTCGGGGACGCCCACAGTCCACTGGGCGGGAAGACCGCAGGCCGATCGTCAAGCCCCAGGCCTCAGTCTCCACTGTGTAAATGCGCTCCAGGCGCAGGGGCCACCTCTGCGGGCCACGGTGGCTGAGGACCAGTGCGGAGGAGGCCCCTGTAACAGGGATCATGGCGCGTACAAAGGTTCGCTGGTCGGCCCCATCCTTCTAACTGTCCCGAGTGGTCCCGAGGAAGCGTCTCGGAAGGGCCAGACCTAGCACTCCTGTACCCAAGGGCAGGATGGGACGACCTGTCGAGAGCAAAATGAACGCCCACAATGGCGACACCGGAAGTCCTGCCCCCACTTCAGAGAAACGCAGGAAATAGCTCTTCTCCTGAGCTGTCATTGGTCCAGAGCCCACCACCGTCTTCCTGCGCCTTCTAGTTAGTGTAGTATCACTCCTGCATCCGGCCCAGGAGGAGTGCTTTACCCATTCTCCTTGGCAACGCCAAGACTCAACTGCGAGGGGCACTGGGAAATGCAGTCGCAAGAGAAAGGTAGGCAGGGCCTTGACTTAACTTCCTCTTAAAGGGGCCGCTCCTGGATTTCCTTTTTCAGAGCTGTGCAGCAAGTGACTCCCTTCCTTGTCACAAGGCTGTGGGCCCTGACGTGGCTCCTGGGGAATCTCTTCTTTTCTCTGAGGATGTAAATAAAGATAATACCTGTCACAGCGACTTTATTCAGTAACATTAAGGTACTGTCACTGGACCACCAGCGTCAGCGTCACTAGGGAACTTTCTAGGACTGCAAGTTCTTGGACACCCATACTCTACTGAGTCGGAGTCTCTGAGGTGGGCCTGAGCACTCTGTGGTTTGACAAGCTTCCCAGAGATTCTGATGCGCACAGTGACAAACTAAAATCCAGCGACAAATTTTGGCTAATATTACAACTTTCCTTATGAGAGGTCACATGAAAACTGCTTAGCACAGGGTCGAGCTCCTAGCACTAAATATCCGAGAGCTATTTTTCTTGCTGTTCATATCATTATCATCTTCTTCCCCTCACGGTTCTGCCCTGCCTCTAGGCCTTACAGTGATGACCCTCCCTACCAGAATCTGGTTTTCCTGGTCAGGCACTGGAAAATGGCCTTGCCTCAAGCTATTGGCCACCTTGAGCCATGCCTGGCATGAGGAACCTGCCTCCTCAGCCTCTCAGACCACTATACCCCCTCAGATCATCTGCCTCCCTCCGCAGGTGAGCTCAGGCACAGAGGTAACTCTGAAATCCAGTCCACAAGTTCTCTCCAGCAGAGCCCTCAGTCTTTCCCAGAAGGGCTTGAGGCAGCAGTGCCTCCTGGACCACAACAGGCAGAGCTCCTGCCCCTGCCCTTTCGCTGTGTTCTCTAAGACCCTCAGTGGTCACAGCTAAGAACCCTACTTTGCATGCTGGCAGTGGCCCATTTCCATTCCCTGCCTCCGCAGCCATACCCCATGCTCAGAGGTGATGTAATCATCACCTTTGTCTTCATACAGTCAGGGGCAGTGTGAGGTAGGGGAGTTTGGGATAGAGTGATTTGAGGACTCCCTGACAGATCACGGGTGCCATGTACATGACTGCTTCCCTTGAGCTGTCAGCAGACATTCCATGGGTTCCCTTGGCCAGAGTGGGTCAGTTCCTGTCCACCCCACACTCAGGGCCCTTAGGCTCCTCCTGGCTAGAGCAAGGGTGCTGGGTCAGCACTCCTACTGATGGGGTCAAACCTGGCAGGAGGGCTTTCCCATATGCAAGGAAAAGCAGTTTCAACAAGTGAGCACTGCAGTGCAGGATCATAAGGAGGCCTACCCAACCCCCTTCTGTGGTATTTCTCCCCAAGGGGCTGTCTCTGTTGCTGGTTAAGGCTCGGGCTGAACCAGGAGACTGTCTTCCACATGTACAGCTTCTGCCTGGGGTGGGTCCCTGATGCTCAGCCAGGTGTCTTGTCCTTTTCTAGCACAATATATAAACAGAATCAGCTGGGCGCGGTGGCTTACGCCTGTAATCCTAGCACTCTGGGAGGCTGAGGCAGACGGATCGCTCAAGGGCAGAAGTTTGAATCCAGCCTGAGCAAGAGCGAGACCCCATCTCTACTATAAATAGAAACAAATTAATTGGCCAACTAAAAATATATAGAAAAAAATTAGCCAGGCATGGTGGCACATGCCTGTAGTCCCAGCTACTCGGGAGGCTGAGGCAGAGGATTGCTTGAGCCCAGGAGTTTGAGGTTGCTGTGAGCTAGGTTGACGCCATGGCACTCTAGCCAGGGCAAAAGAGTGAGACTCTGTCTCAAAAAAAAAAAAAAAAAAAAAAAAAAAAATATATATATATATATATAAACAAAATCATACCATAAAGACAGTTTTGTGTCTTCTTTTGCTTACCATAATTTTGAGGAATTCATCCATGTTGTGACACATCAAAATTTCATTCCTGCATATTACTGAGTTGAACTTATTGTGTGGGAATACTATAATATCTTTATTTCACTCACCAATTGTTATACTGTAGAGTTGTTTCAAACTTTTAGCTATTATGAATAAAGGTGCCAGGATTTGCACATGCCAGGATTTTTGTACACAGGTGTTTTCATTGCCTTTGGCTAAATCCCTGAGAGAGAGAATTGCTGGATTGTGGGATAGGCCTATTTTAACTTCATAAGACAATGAGAGTACAACACAGCTTACCCTGAGCTAGATGTACCAGTCCAATCAGAACTACACTGTTTAATTCAATCAATGCAAAATATTTTTTCTCATTATTCTATTTTCATAGATAAAATAATGTGATTATAAACCATTCCTGGGGAAGGAACTTGTCTTCAAGTTGCTCAGTGTCTCATCAGGTTCTACCACAATACTAATGACATGTGTTTACCTTAGTCTAAATCTAGATGTGAAGTCATTTGGGACCTTCCAATTTGAACCCTGCTTGGCTGTTTCACACCAAATAATACAAAACTCCCACACCCTAAATCCCTGGCACTTAGTCAGATGAGACACCAAATCAGATAAGACCAAGACACATACCCAGTTACCGGGTGGGTAGTTGGATTGTCCCAGGAAACAACTAAGGGACCCATCATAGCAGGGACCCCCTCCCTTGGTTCTTACCTGAGCACTTACAGGGTAAGTATCTGGCTGCAGAGTGTGGTGACTTGGTGCCAATAGGGAGGCCAGCTCAGCCTACAGAGAGATGTTGGGCAGATATGCAAGCCTTCACCACTCTCTCCATGTTACTGTCTTCCCTTTCCTTCCGCAGTCCTCTCTAGTTGGCCACTGATTTTAATATTATAATTCACTATTGTGGAAGAGAAAAAAAGAAGAAAAGAAACTTTCTTATCTGAGGAATGCAAGCCCCTTTAAATGATCAGGCCCAGAGAGGCAAGAATGAAAGAGCAGTCATGTCACTTCTCCTTGGACTAAATAATTTTTTTTTTTTTGAGACAGAGTGTAAAGTGCCCTGGCATCAGCCTAGCTCACAGCAACCTCAAACTCCTGGGCTCAAGTCATCCTCCTGCCTCAGCCGCCCGAGTAGCTGGGACTACAGGCATATGCCACCATGCCCGGCTAATTTTTTCTATACATTTTCAGTTGACCAATTAATTTCTTTCTATTTTTTAGTAAATATGGGGTCTTGCTCTTGCTCAGGCTGGTTTTGAACTCCTGACCTTGAGCAATCCACCAGCCTCGGCCTCCCAGAGTGCTAGGATTACAGGCATGAGCCACCACGCCTGGCCTCATTTCTTTCTATTTTTTTAGTAGAGGTCTCGCTCTTGAATTCCTGAGCTCAAACAATCCGCCTGCCTCCACCTCCCAGAGTGCTAGGATTACAGACATGAGCCACCATGCCTGGCCACATTGTAGTTTTGATTTGCATTTCTCTGATGACTAATCATGTTGAGCATTTTTTCATATACCTGTTGGCCAATTGTATGTCTTCTTTTGAGAAATGTCTATTCAGATCCTTTGCCCATTTTTAAAGTGGATTATTTGATTTTTTCCTATTGAGTTTTTAGAGTTCCTTATGTATTCTACTTATTAATCCCTTGTCAGATGGGTAGTTTGCAAATATTTTCTGTGCATTGTCTCTTTACTTTGTTGATTGTTACCTTTGCTGTGTAGAAGGCTTTTAGCTTGATGTGATCTCATCTGTCCAATTTTGCTTTGGTTGCCTGTGCTTTGGAGGTATTACTCAAGAAGTGCTTCCCCAGACCAATGTCCTAAAGAATTTCCCCAATGTTTTCTTTTAGTAGTTTTATAGTTTCAGGTATTCAATTTAAGTCTTTAATCCACTTTGATTTTATTTTTGTATATGGTGAGAGATAAGGGTCTACTTTCATTCTTCTGTAAATGGACATCCAGTTTGCCCAGCACCATTTATTGAAGAGACTGTTCTTTCCCCTCTGTATGTTTTTGGCATCTTTGTTGGAAATAAGTTCACTATATATGTGTGGATTTATTTCCAGGTTCTCTATTTTGTTCCATGGACCTTTGTGTTTGTTTTTATGCCAGTACCATGCTGTTTGGTTACTACAGCTCTGTAGTATAATATGAAGTCAGGTAATGTGACTCCTCCAGTTTTCTTCATTTTGTTCAGGATGGCTTTGGCTATTCTGGGTCTTTTGTGCTTCCACATACATTTTAGGATTATTTTGTTTATTTCTGTCAAGAATGTCATTGGCCGGGCGCAGTGGCTTACGCCTGTAATCCTAGCACTCTGGGAGGCCGAGGCGGGTGGATTGCTCGAGGTCAGGAGTTCGAAACCAGCCTGAGCAAGAGCCAGACCCCGTCTCTACTATAAATACAAAGAAATTAATTGGCCAACTAATATATATAGAAAAAATTAGCTGGGCATGGTGGCGCATGCCTGTAGTCCCAGCTACTCGGGAGGCTGAGGCAGCAGGATTGCTTGAGCCCAGGAGTTTGAGGTTGCTGTGAGCTAGGCTGACACCACGGCACTCACTCTAGCCTGGGCAACAAAGGGAGACTCTGTCTCAGAAAAAAAAATAAATAAAATAAGAATGTCATTGGTATTTTGATGGGGATTGCATTGAATCTGTAGATTGCTTTGAGTAGTACAGACATTTTAACAATATTGATTCTTTCAATGCATGAGCATGGAATATGTTTCCCTTTTCTGTGTCCTCTTCAAGTTCTTTCATTGATGTTTTATAGTTTTCATTAGAGAGACCTTTCATTTCTTTTGTTTTTTTTGTTTTTGTGTTTTGTTTTTTGAGACAGAGTCTCACTTTGTTGCCCAGGCTAGAGTGAGTACCGTGGCATCAGCCTGGCTCACAGCAAGCTCAATCTCCTGGACTCAAGTGATCCTCCTGCCTCAGCCTCTTGATTAGCTGGGACTACAGGCATGCGCCACCATGCCCGGGTAATTTTTTTGTATATATATATATATATTTTTTTAGTTGGTCAATTAATTTCTTTCTATCTGTTTTTAGTAGAGACAGAGTCTTGCTCAGGCTGGTTTCGAACTCCTGACCTCGAGCATTCCTCCTGCCTCAGCCTCCCAGAGTGCTAGGATTACAGGCGTGAGCCACCACGCTCGGCCTCATTTCTTAAGTTTATTCCTAGGTTTCTTATTTTTTATTTGTAGCTATTGTAAATGGAATTACTTTCTTGGTTTATTCTTTCAGATTGTTTACTGTTGGCATATAGAAATGCTAATGAGTTTTGTATGTTGATTTTGTATCCCGCAACTTTACTGAATTTGTTTATCAGTTCTAACAATATCTGAGTTGAGTCTTTAGGTTTCTGTAGATATTAGGTTATTAGGTATGAAATGTCCAGTTTCCTTAAGGTACTAAGTTTGACAGTTGATATCTCTGACATTTCACTTTGACACTTCTAGTTTTATTTTTATAGTGAAGGTACATCCCTCATTCTTTCAAATGAGGATGTACATCCTCATTCTTTCAAATGTATGCTTTGGCTATGATTATTTATCAAAAATGGCTTTTTTTTTTTTTTTGGAGACAGAATCTCACTCTGTTGCCTCAGCCTAGCTCACAGCAACCTCAAACTCCTAGCTTCAGGCGATCCTCTTTCCTCAGCCTCCCAAGTAGCTAGGACTACAGGCATGTACTACCATACCAGCTAATTTTTTCTATATATTTTTAGTTGCCCAGCTAATATCTTTCTATTTTTAGTAGAGATGGGATCTCACTCTTGCTTAGGCTGGTCTCGAACTCCTGACCTTGAGTGATCCTCCAGCCTTGGCCTCCCAGAGTGATAGGATTACAGATGTGAGCCACTGCGTCCAGCCTCTACACCATATTATTAAGGGTGATGAAAAATGGATTCTGAAGCTTTTCTACTCTGTCAACATCAGCACTTATTACTATAAACTTTCTTGTTATTACTGCTTTTGCTGCATCCCATAGGTTTTGATATGTTGTGTTTTTTATTTTCATTTGTTTAGCTATTTCATTTGTTTGTCTATTTTCACTATAGACCAAATGGACCTAATAGATATTTACAGAATATTTCATCTAACAGCTGCAGAATACACATTCTTCTCCTCAGCTCATAGATCATTCTCAAGGACAGTCCATATGTTAGGCCACAAAACAAGTAACAAAGCATGCAAAAAAACTGAAATCATACCTAGTATTTTCTCTGAACACATGGAATGTGAAATATTTTCATATGTATAGCTATAGTGAAATATTTTCATTTGTATAGCTACTCCTGTTCTTTTTTGGTTTCCATTTGCATAGAATATCTTTTTCCATCCTTTTTTTTTTTTTTCAGTCTATATGTGTCTTTATAGGTAAAGTGTGTTTCTTTCAGACAATGTACAGTTGGCTCTTGTTTTTTTTGTTGTTGTTGTTTTTAAAATCCATTCAGCCACTCTGTCTTTTGATTGGAGAGTATAGTCCATTCAAATTCAATGTTATTATCAGTAGTTAAGGGCTTACTACTGACATGTTTGGAGAAATTTTTAAATGTCCTTCTTAATTCAAATTCAATGTTATTATCAGTAGGTAAGGGCTTACTACTGACATGTTGTTTGGAGACATTTTTAAATGTCCTTCTTAATCTCTTCATTCATGAGCATATTGTTTAATTTCTATGTGTTTGTATATTTTCCAGTGTTCCTCTTGTTATCGTTTTCTAGTTTTATTCCATTGTGTTCACAGAAAATACTTGGTATGATTTCAGGTTTTTTGCATGTTTTGAGACTTGTTTTGTGGCCTAACATATGGTCTGTCCTTGAGAATGATCCATGAGCTGCGGAGAAGAACGTGCAGCTGTTGGATGAAATATTCTGTAAATATCTATTAGGTCCATTTGTTCTATAGTGAAGCTTATGTCCAATGTTTCCTTGTTGAATTTCCCTCTGGATGATCTGTCCAGTGCAGAAAGTGGAGTGTTGAGGTCTCTAATGATTATTATATTAGCATCTATCTCTCTCTTTAGCTCAGATAAGATTTGCTTTATATATCTGGGTGCTCTAGTGTTGGGTGCATATATATTTAGTATTGTTATATCCTCTTGCTGAATTGACCTCTTTATCATTATATAATGATCTTCTTAGTCTGTTTTTACAGTTTTTGTCTTGAAGTCTATTTTATCTGATGGAAATATAGCTACTCCTGTTCTTTTTTGGTTTCCATTTACATGGAATATCTTTTTCCATCCTTTTTTTTTTTTCAGTCTGTATGTGTCTTTATAGGTAAAGTGTGTTTCTTTCAGACAATGTACAGTTGGCTCTTATTTTTGTTTGTTTGTTTGTTTTTTTGTTTTTTGTTTTTTTTTTATTTTCGGCATTCCCAAACATTCTGTATGTTTTTTTTTTTTTTTTTTTAAATCCATTCAGCCACTCTATGTCTTTTGATTGGAGAGTTTAGTCCATTCAAATTCAATGTTATTATCAGTAGGGAAGGGCTTACTACTGATATGTTGTTATTTGTTTTTTGGTTCTCTTTTTATTTCTTCTTTCTTTCCTGTCTTCCTTTGTTAAAAGTCATCTAGAAAGCTTCCTTGCTCACATTTCTGAGATTGATGCTGCTGTTTGGCAATTGGCTGTGGTCTCAGCTGGGGCTCTTTCCCAGAACATTTCCACATAGCTTGAG